GTTGTAGAAAGAACAACTTATGTAGAGAAATTAGTTTTGTAACATCCATTCACACGTCTGTTGTAGAAAGAACAACTTATGTAGAGAAATTAGTTTTGTAACATCCATTCACACGTCTGTTGTAGAAAGAACAACTTATGTAGAGAAATTAGTTTTGTAATATCCCATCACACGTCTGTTGTAGAAAGAACAACAATCTTAACAACAAGTTAAATCCTAATTCTCAACATTAGCTCCCCAGTGCCACAGCGGTATGTCTGCAGACTTACAAAGCTAGAAACTGGGTTTCGATACCCGTGGTGGGCAGAGCACAGATAGCCCAAACAAATATACAATCCTCAACGTTAAATCAAAGAGGCGTTACTAACAGACGTTTCGCTTTATTCCAAGTGCCAATAAAATTTACTTGGTAAAGTTTTATGTTCTTGTTTTGTATTTTTGCTATGATTATTTCACGGTATAAGTAAGTTCCACTCATGATGAAAATTGTTTAGAAGGATAAAAATTCTAAAAAAAATTATAACTGGGGTTATTTTCACATAAAATTAATTTATAGTGTGTTAAGAAAGGTAAAACATGTTTTGTTTCTTACGTTGCTATATTCCTAGACAATATGCTATAAAGTTTAAGAATAGTAATTCAGGTTGAGAACCCTGTCACAATGTTTCATTTCTCACACTAAACTCTCTATCTCGTAGCAGTATAAAAAATTATAATTCAAATCTGTCCATACTATAACTCACCCTCCGTGGAGTAACAGTAAAATCTTATACACTTCCAACACTAAAATTTGTGGTTTGATTCTTCCCTGAGGTGGTGGACGAAGCTCAGATGGTCCTTTGTGTGGCTTTGAACTAAAACAAATAAACTCCCTACATAAGTATTTTCCTCTCCCCCCTTCCGGTAGCAGCTGTAAATAAAGGATAGTTGTTGTGCCTGAAACTTTGGGGGATCTGACAATGTCATTTAGTTCATGTGTTCCATAAGGGGGAGGGGGGGTGTTTCGTAGGTTAAGAATATCAAATACTGTTTTAGAAAGGATATGTTAAAAACTTTGAAAGAGCAGGAGATAAAGTTTACTTATATATATGTGTGTGTGTGTGTGTATATATAAAACATATATTTCATACGAGTGAAGTTAAAGACAGCATTCAGTAAAACTTCCATTTTCCAACCTTGTAGCAGTATGACTCTGAACACGAAATATTAAAACTAATAGCGCTAATATCGGTTCCATTACAAGTCGTCAGTGTTTGTTTTGGGTTTTTATCTTTGGCTTCACCTCATTGTTATTTGACACATATATATATATATATATTGTTTAAAACATTTTCAAACTATTTACATTATTGAATTTTTATAACTCAACTGTTTGTACGTTTACTTATTGCAACTGTGATACGGAAAACTAAATTTAAAATTGAATAGTTTGCAAGAAAGGGAAAATACAATATCAGTATCAGATTCGCATTCTATGTTATTCCTTTATCTGTTTTTAACGAAAAAGAAATATCAAACTTCGTGAAGCTAGTGTTAGGTTTTAAGGATCCAACTTTTATTGGAGTATTTGGAGCAGTAATGTTCCTGGTAGCCAGAAATAAAAATGTGTTTTTCTTGCAGATTTTATATATATATATATACGTATGTTTAATACTTTTAGTTCTTACAGGACTTTACCTTGTAAAACGTTTTGGATATTTACGCTTGAGTTCGAATTGGATTATGTTTTTAATCTGAGACGCACCCTAATTGAAACAAAATTTCTCAAAAACCTTATTTTTTGTGATTGCATTATGTGTAGATTAATTCCGCCAGCCAATTTTTTGTGGATTATATGAATGACGAATAGTTATTGTCTTGCCAGAAGTATTTGGACACCCCCTTCAATACGTGATGTCCGCCTCCCCCATCGGTGGCTTAGCGGTGAGAGTCAGGACTTATAACGCTAAAACCAGTGGTGGGCAGAACACGGGTAGCCCATTATGTAGCTTTGTGCATAACAACAACAAACAATACGTGACATGTCTCATACATCGAATTATATCAAGTACACTCAATGAGTGTAAATACAGGGACAAACTTTATGGATTATACCAGTCAGGTGACAATTTCTGAAGTATTATCAGGGGGAGGTAGGGAAGGGTGTGGTGTGGTGTTGGCTGAATTTTGTGCATTAGGACTTTCTTTGAATAATATTTGTACATCTAGGTGCCCACATGCATCAAGAGGACATATACAAATACCATAATGTAGTTTTAGCTCAATGAGCCAAGGCATTGTTACTAAAGGATAATGCTCCCAGCCGTAAAGTATACATAAATAAAACAAACTCCATGAAATGGCTCGCTTAGCGCCCTTTTGAAGAAATCTTTGAACCAGCTGAAGAAAGAAGATACTATTTCGGATGTTAAGACTTCCGTCTTCCAGCCATCATTAAGTGGTCGTGATTTTGAAACAACAATGGAGACATGTGTCAGTTAATTTTTGGGACCCATCTGAGAGTCTATCTCGTAGAGCAGTAGCAGCTATCCAGGTTTGAGGTGGTGCTACACTTTATTAAGACAGTAATGATAAGGAATCCCCGTTATAAATAGGCCTGGTCTCGTAGAGCAGTAGCAGCTATTCAGGCTTGAGGTGGTGCTACACTTTATTAAGACACTAATGATAAGGAATCCCCGTTATAAATAGGCCTGGTGATTAGGGCACTCGACTGGCAGTTTGCGGGCCACGGGTTCGAATATCCCTCACCAAACATGTTCGCCCTTTCAGCCATGTGGGTATTATTATGTGGCGGTCAATTCCATTATTCGTTGGTCAAAAGAGTAGTTGGCGGTGAATGATATTGACTAGCTGCCTTCCCTCTAGTTTATCACTACTAAATTAGAGGTGGGAGCACAGGTTGCCTTACAGTAGCTTTGCGCGAAATTCAAACCAAACCAAACCCGCTATAACTATATTTCCCTATAGTTCCGGCAAAGCAATGCATATAACTTCAATATATGAAGCAGTAACTAGAAAGGCAGACATGAAAACAAGAGTATAGCATAATGATATTTAAAGAGTAAAATCACGAGAGAGTTTGAGAATGGCAGAAGAAGAAACGACCAGAACCAATGAGGAAAGAGCCGAGAGAGGCGAACAGTTGAGGCTTAGACCACCAGATGGAGAAGTATCTAATCTAAGTGCACGTAAAATAACGGGCAGTATTCCTGATCAGCAGCTCAGTTGAAATCTTGAAAGCTAGATTTCACCATATCACATGTTTTCTGGCTTATATGTAAATAAGTATTTGTCAAAAGTTCGTCTTGACTTCTCTGTATGTTATACCACTCGTCACGTTACCAATAATTAACATAAATATTAATAATTAACACCCCCCCCCTAAAAAAAGGAGGCCTGGGTGTAAGATTACACAACATCTCCACACTAAGATGATAAACACATCTTTATGACATTGAGTTAATTCGAATATTTAATATTTAACTCACTTCTGTTAATGTTTAAAGAAAACCTGATATCAACTTTTCTTCAACAGAACAACATTATTTGTTTGTTTGTTTCTTCAGATAAATGTTTAATTATGAAATTATTAAAGAATAACTAGTGTGCGTCTTACAAAATAAACTAAATCAAATTAGGAAAAGTAGCTTACATGGTTTAAGTCCAGGTTTCTATCTTCTTAACGTGTTTTGGTTCTTCGGGGAGTTCGTAGTATTTTGTTTTTTAAAAAAAGATTGTCTGGTCATTTCAGTTTGAGAAACATTATGTTAGTTTTAAAAAAAACTCTTATAAATGGTATTATTTTATAAAAAATGAGCATTCAAACATAAATCTTCCAGACAAAGTTACCATTTTACTGTGTCACATACATTAATGAAGACTCGATGCTTGGTATCATTTTACTGTGTCGCATACATTAACGAAGACTCGGTGCTTGATACTATTTTACTGTGTCGCATACATTAACGAAGACTCGGTGCTTGATACTATTTTACTGTGTCGCATACATTAACGAAGACTCGGTGCTTAATACTATTTTACTGTGTCACATACATTAATGAAGACTCGGTGCTTGATACTATTTTACTGTGTCGCATACATTAATGAAGATTCGATGCTTGGTACCATTTTACTGTGTCGCATACATTAATGAAGACTCGGTGCTTGGTATCATTTTACTGTGTCGCATACATTAACGAAGACTCGGTGTTTGATACTATTTTACTGTGTCGCATACATTAACGAAGACTCGGTGCTTGATACTATTTTACTGTGTCGCATACATTAACGAAGAGTCGATGCTTGGTGAACGCACCAGTATGTTCTAAACAGTCAGTATCGTTTACACATTTTGTTCTTTTGATTCGAAACTTCACGCAAAACTGCACTAGAGCTATCTACGCTAGCCACCCCTCATTTTGAACTGACAGACTAGAAAGAAGGCAGCTATTCAACAGCACCCACCGCCAATTTATGAGCTACTTTACTTGAACAGTGGGATTCGACCGTCACTTTTATAACACACCCAAGTGCCCAAAGCGAGTGACGAATGTTTGAAGCAACGGGACGCGAACGTTTGACCTCAGAAATAACGGTCCTGGGGCGTAAGGGGGCTAACAACTCGGTCACGCACAGCACTCGTTTAAAAATAGCAAGGTAGAAATGAATCAGAACATCAGTTGTTAGAATAGTTCAGTATCCAAATATTACTGTTCGATGAAGTATGGCTTTTATACAAGTGTTTCTCTTGGTTTATATTCCTTACCGCAACTCGGAAATGTTACACAGCGTGTTGTGGGGTAACTTTGAGTCGAAATGTCCTGTGTAAACGAACTAGTTAAATGTCTCAGACTAGAAACTATTACAGAATAATCGTGACAAAGTGAACCGAATGGTCAAAGCTGTAGAGGTTTAATCAAAATATTTCATTTCAAATTTTCACCTTTTCTACCTTAAACATTTCTCTGCTTATCAAAAAAGGGCGTGAGTTAGCCCTGTTGTAGAGTTCTGGATTTAGGATATGGCGAACCGGGTGTCAAATCCGTGGGATACCACTAAATATTTTCCTCACTTTAAGCATGGGTTCATTATAAGAAAGACAGTCAATTCCTTAGAGACTGCCTCTAACTGCCTACGGCCCGGCATGGCCAAGTGGTTAGGGCGCTCGACTCGCAATCTGAGGGTCGCCGGTTCGAATCTCCAAACATGCTCGCCCTTTCAGCCGTGGGGGCTTTATAAAATGACGGTCAATCCCACTATTCGTTGGTAAAAGAGTAGCCCAAGTAGCGGTGGGTGATGATGACTAGCTGCCTTCCCTCTAGTCTTACACTGCTAAATTAGGGACGAGTAGCGCACATAGCCTTCGTGTAGCTTTGCGCAAAATTCATAACAAACATAATAAACAAACTGACTGCCAACCCTTTCTCTGATCAGTAGTTTAAGATTAGGGAAGACGATAGGTTTGCCATAAATACAAATATAGATAATGATTAAAAAGAGTTTTACATTATGAAATTAACTTGTGTATAAATACAAATTAAATTTCATTATCTTGAGGTTTACACATTCAGAAAAATACCTTATTGTAATTGCATTTCAAATGAATGGGCAGTTTAATGTGTAGTATAAAAGCTTAAACCTTTTCTAACCGACTTTGTTATCAGATATTAGTCACCAGTGGTTAACGTGCCGGACTGTGGATCCGACGTTGTATAGTTTGTGCCTTCTTGCTGTCAAAACGAAACCGCATTCCGCATTTTTTGGGGCTTTGAATACGTTACGAAAGTGACGATCAAATCCAACTATTAGATTAGAGTAGCCCACAAGTTGGCGGTGAGTGTTTTTGACGACCTGTTAATATAGAATACATCTGCTAGAACTTTATATGTAAATTCCGTGGCTGTCGTATAAAGGTGTCTAACCAAACGAGGAAGAATAGGGTTAATATAGAATACATTGTTTGTTTGTTTGTTTATAATTAAGCACAAAGCTACACAATGGGCTATCTGTGCTCTACCCACCACGGGTATCGAAACCTGGATTCTGACATTGTAAGTCCGCAGACATACCGCTGTGCCACTGGGAGGCATAGAATACATCTAATAAAATTTATATATACATCATATGATTGTTGTATAAAAACCCGAAATATGAAGTTAATATAGAATAGATTTAATGAAATCAGAGGTTTGTCACTCATGGTCTCGTTTTTCCTTCTGCCTCCCCTTCCTTCCTCTGCCTGACATGCTGACGTGTACCAACTTAATTTGTATGTGTATGATTGTTTCTATATTTATTTCTATATACATGTTTACGTACTTTTTTACGCTAGTTTTTAAACCATATATATCGCATGTGGAACGAAGGAAGATTTTTCAATCCTCGAACAGCAACGGTTTTTTTCACCCAAAAACTACGAAACTAGAACTAATGAATCTATATATACATATTGTGACTGTTGTATAAAAGATGAAAGATTGGGTTAACTCATGATAAATATAATGGAATTATATACATTGTGTGATCTTTGTATGAAAGGTACTTAACTACGCTTTTGTTTCTAAAGTTGGCGCAGGTTCGGCAGGAGCGGTGTTGGCTAACCGACTCTCAGAAGATGTCCTTACAAAAGTTCTGCTGTTGGAAGCTGGGGGCTTGCCAGACGTTATGACGGAAGTTCCTCTTTTTGCGGGTGAGTTACAACAGTCCAGTTTTGACTGGGGTTACACAACCGAGCCACAGGAAACTGCCTGCCTTGGTCAAGTGGAACGAGTAAGTTTTCCAATTTGATAAGCCTCTTCTTTCATTTGTTTTTGGACGTAAGTTATTCCAAATCGATGTCGTTTTCTTAGTTAAAAGCTACACGACGGGCTATTTGCATTCTATCCACTGCGGAGACTCGAACCCTGGATGTTAGCATAGTAAGTCTGTAAGCTTAACGCTGACTCAATGGGAAGAAAGTGATTGAAAATATTTATATATATTGATCATTTACTTCGTTTGTTTGACTTCTCTTTAAATCTGTTTACAAGACATGGATCTCGAATATCAAGAAGACCAGGTCTAAGTTACAGATGGCGCTTTCAGATTTTATTCATTTGTTAAATTAGAATTTAAAACAATAATGCTTAAATTCCCCTATTTTCCTAATGATAACCTATTACATTTCCTTAGACATCTAGTGAATAAAGACAATTTAATTGTTCCCTGATGGTTGAGTTAAAGGTAAGTTCACGGAATTACAAACGCTAAAATCTGGGTTTCTATTCCCCAGCGTAAGTAATACAATGTATAGCTTTGTGCTCAGCACACATACCGAAAATGAAATCATTTATGATTTGTAAGAAGCATTGGCCAATCAGATTGTAATAGCATTGAGACTACACCGACGAAAAGTTTGGCTTGTTCCTTTATTTTAGCACTTTATGATTTTTTGTTTGTTTCAGGTGCGAAGCTGCACGATGGGCTATCTGCGACCTGTATAACACATAAGTCGAACACCGAATTTAAACAATAAAAGCCTTCAAGCTTACCGGGGAGGGCGCACTTTATGGCAGATAATGTTGAAGTCAAGTAATTCATAACCTAATCAACAAATCTCTTCTGTGTTCGATATAATGAATGTTTTTAACTAATTAATATATTATGATTATGGACACTAAACAATATACGTATAGAGATATATATATATATATAATATTTTCATAGCATCATACGGGTTTTAAAAGCTCAGTATGTCAAACTTATGTCTTTAAAACTTTGGAAAATTCTCGTACTAGTAATTGTCAAAACCAGAGCATTTTCGTGTAGCGTGTACAAATATATACATATTTATTTTTCTATATCTTGCCCCCCAGTTGCATAGCGGTATGTCTGCGGATTTACAACGCTAGAAACCGGGTTTCGATACCCGTGGTGGGCAGAGTATAGATAGCCCTTTTGTGTAGCTTTGTGCTTAACTACAAACAAATTCTATATATTTACTTATTATATATATGGGGAAGGTTTTGATGAGTGTTTTATATATATAAAATTATTATATATATATATAATTATATTACTTCCAACATTCGATACCCGTGGTGGGCAGAGCACAGATAGCCCATTATGTAGCTTTGTGTATAAATTCAAACAAACATTCAGAAGAAAATGAGTGTTATGTGTTTTTTTGTTTTATAAAACTGTAAACCAAAAATAAATAATGTCTCAGGTATAGTACAGACAGTTAAACCTAGGGCACTAACTACAGTATAAAAATGGTAAAAACCTGTCCAAACGGACGAGGTATCTGCATAGCATGAGCACACACAATTATGGGGATGCACATTTTATCAGATAATATCACCACCATTTTAAATACCTCTCACGGAAACACATTTCACACAGTGGTAGGAATATTATCAGATAAAATATGTATCTCCACCGCTGTATGGTCCCCTCTTGTGTAGGTACCTCTAGTACCAGGATTCGTTTTACCACTTTCATACTGGAGTTTTTATCCTAGGTTTATAAGTTTGCATTACGTAGATGCATGATTTATTTCACATTTGTTTTCAATACGTTTGTAATAACTTTTTCTAAGAAGACGGTAGACGTGTTTTAGTTTTAACCAAGTGATTTATAAATCTTAAACATCCTTCTTCGCAAATACTAATGGTAAAGTTGTGACGATCGGAGAGCAGTCTTTTTTCATGGTAGCCTAAATGGTTACCTAAGTTATTAATTATTAATTAGACCTTAGCGATCATATAGAGTATTAGTCATGAGAATGGTCGTTTCTTGACAAGTTCTAGAAAAGTCGAACATTACCAATATAACAATACTGTTTTGTTTTTGCTTTATATTTCAGAGGGAAAACGCTAATCATTCTTACGGTTCACCGGGGGGGGGGGGGGCAGCGGTAAATTTACAGACTTACAACACTAAAATATAGGGTTCGATTACCCACGGTGGACAGATCGCAGATAGCCTACTGTGTAGTCTTGCACTAAAAACAACAACCAACGCGAACGTTCGAACAAAATGGGGTTTTAAATTCAAAAGATCAAAAGAATTACATTACCAAAATAAAGGCCCCCCTCAGTGGCACAGCGGTATGTCTTCGGATTTCAACGCTAGAATCCGGGTTTCGATACGCGTGGTGGGCAGAGCACAGATAGCCCATTGTGTAGCTTTATGCTTAATTACAAACAAACTAAAATAAAATTGTCCAACAGAAAACTGGATATTTTCCAGTTTTGGAAACAACAAAAATTTTGACAACAACTGTATATCATATCAAATTTTGACAACAACTGTATATCATATCAAATTTTGACAAAAACTGTATGTCATATCAAATTATATTACGACTGTTTCTAAATGTTGTTATTCTTGCCGCAGCGATTTAGGCTTAACAAGTTTTATTTGTTGAGGTTACGTGCTCGCCCACCAGCAGCTACAACATACAGAAAATAAAATAACAGAATTGATGAACAATTCTGATTGAAAATCTTTTCACAAGGTTGAAAAGATGATGTGTTACCAGGGCCAGACTATAGAATACATATATGTTATTGAAATTAACTGGATTTTTTCCAATGGGCAAATTTTCTTGCTGTTTTGCTTCTTTAACTTATTTGGTCGAGTGAAACGTAGTGGTTAGCTTGTCGAGAGTCGACTCGAAGAGTCCAAGGCTAGAAATGTGATGCCCCTGAACACACTCCGCACTTTCAGCTGTAGGACAAGTGTACATGATCCCCCAGATGTCCATTATCTGATTATTTAGTTCACAGATGCATAAGACGCATGTATCTTCCAGTGCCTTTAACTTATTTACTTGAGTTATGAAACATTCGGTTTTATCTTCAGATGTTGTACTTCTGGTGCGTATGTTTGAAGAAGACAAGGTGAAAACGAAAGAAATGTGTATTTGAAATTGTCATTTGAATGGTAGTCTTGTATTTTTATTTGTCTCTTAAAAGGTTTGTTAGAAATTAAAAATTGACACACATATCAAATGTTGGTTGTTTGAACCAATTTTTAGTTTACAGAGAAAGGAAAAAAAAATAAAGATGTTTTGTTTTTGAAAAATGGAATGTTAAAAAAATCATATTGGTATCATACGAGCCCATATAAATATATATTTTTAATTGAAACACTATCTGTTTCTTTAATTTTTCAGAGAAGTCATTGGCCACGTGGCAAAGGTTTGGGTGGGTCCAGTTTGATTAACTACATGTTATACGTACGCGGCAATTCACGAGACTATGACAACTGGGTCCAGCAAGGGGCACATGGCTGGAGCTGGAAAGACGTGTTTCCATATTTTTTGAAATCTGAGGACAATAGAAATCCAGATATTGCGTACAATGGTAAGGGAACAAACATACAAAATAAAGAAAAATGGTCAGAGAGTAATCTATAGTAAAATGGTTGCTGATGGTTGCTTCATAGATTAGTTGCCTGTAGCTAATTACTTTTACATTTTTCATGAATGACTAAGTAAAACGACAAGGATTATATCATCCAGCGAATGTATATGTATCTACGCCTATTTTTATATTTTTGACATTTTCATCAACTTACAGTTTGGTCGCGGGAAAACGACGTTATTTAAATATGGCAGCACAAACGTAGTCTGGCGTCACGTCGGTTAGCGAATCACCTTTCTCTTCCCACTTGTCTGATTCTCGATATAAATCTTTATAACGTCTCAGTAACAATTTTCATTCTAGTATTACATTAAGACGAACTAAAATGTATATTCTGGTGCTGAACTGTCATTCAGTAAGGAAAGCTGCTCTGAACTTGAAATTATTTCTGGTGCTAGGTTGTATATGTAATGAATTTTTCAACATGATCATCTTGTTTATTATATACAGAGACCTAGTGGTAACAGATCTAACATTTGGTAAATATTAGCACAAGTAGTAGCAGTACGGGTTTGAATGGTTGATAACTGCATCAGGATTCAAATTTACAAGCTTCATTGATATTGTTACGTCTCCGTTTGTTAATTGATTTTCCGTAACTTCGTTCCGACGAAACTTTAGTGACACAAGTCCTTACTTAATAAAACTGGTTTATTCTTTCCGAATATAACTTTACGATACACTTAATTTCAACAATCGCGCTAAAACAAACGCTATAACAACGAACGTGCTCAACTTCAATAATACTCTCTAACTGCAGATCAATTACTCACTGTCTACACACACATTGTCACGTCACGCCGTGACCATCTTATATATACCAGACCACTCCCCAATCTAGTAAATGCTAGAGCACTCCCGAAGGAACGGGATAGTTCTAGAAAGCAGGTGACGTGACACTAGTCACGTGACCTCGCTAACGCAACAATATGTATTCCATTGTGTTCATTATAAAATCTTTACTGATGTAGTAACTTTCTCTAAAATAGGATTGTCTGAATAAACAAAGATTTTATTTCGTATGTACATACGTATGTACTTACATATTTAATTTGCTTTGCGTTTCATTTCGAATCGTTTATAAAGCCCCCCCCCCCGCCCGGTAAGATGGAAGACTTATAACGCTAAAAACCGGGTTTCGATACCTGTGGTGGATACAGCACAGACAGCTCATTGTGTTGATTTACGCTTAGTAACATATAAACAGAACATCTGGAAAGTAATGAAGACTGTCGGTTGAGATAGTATTTGAACAGTTCAGTTGTAATATATTGTTGCCATTTAATCAATTGTAAAATATTGTTGCCATTTAGAAAGTAATGTAACTGTCGGTTGAGATAGTATTTGAACAGTTCAGTTGTAATATATTGTTGCCATTTAAAAAGTAATGTAACTGTCGGTTGAGATAGTATTTGAACAGTTCAGTTGTAATATATTGTTGCCATTTAAAAAGTAATGTAACTGTCGGTTGAGATAGTATTTGAACAGTTCAGTTGTAATACATTATTGCCATTTAATCAATTGTAAAATATTGTTGCCATTTAGAAAGTAATGTAACTGTCGGTTGAGATAGTATTTGAACAGTTCAATGTTACACATCGATAAACCATTTTAACATTATACAATTCGAAAGAATATTTAACAAAATGTAAAAAACGATCACTTTCAGCAAATGATCATTTTTCAATTTTTTCTTCAAGGATCAACAAAAATGTCCTTTTCGCTGTCGAAAAGTACGTGAAGTTTTATCACGTCACGTAATGTCTAAAAAGGACCACACGAAGTCTATTTACGATTGACTCACCGATGAAACAGCATATCTAAAAAGGACTGGCTCCAAAATAAGGTTTAGTGGTAACGTTGTGCAACAAACAAACAAACAAGTTATAGATGCTTTAAAGAGTTTGACACAACATTAATTAAGCATGAATTCGCGATTTCCCAGTCCAAAATTCCTATTATGTGCTAATTACTTTTGTCATCATCAAGCCTGGTATTATTAATTTTTCACTTTTCGTTCTTGTATCGTTTATTTTGAGGCCTAAAATAGTCCAAAACAAGCACCAAAACTGAAACAGACTTTGATACAACATCCAAACTGGTTGTCAAAGTTGACTTCTTTCGATTAGGGATGCATGTTATTTTCTGTATCTTTGCAAGCTTGCGACGCTAAAAATTGGGTTTCCAATACCGTGGGCAGAAGAAAGATAGCCCTTTCTATAGCTTTGTGCTTAAAAACAACCAAACCAAACCAAATTTTCTGTGTAAACTGGGCCAGAAACTGAATCACCATCTTCAGTATCCAAGACAACAGCAGCTTTTGCTACCTTCCTCTCACGTATGCTTTTCCTTGTATTCTTTCTCTCTCTCTCTCTCTCTTTTTTTTTTGGAACAAAATAAACAAATATTAACCAGCAAAGTATGTTGGATATTTAGTTTCTTTATTAATGAAAATAAATAATTTGAATTATGAATAACGATGAGAAAAGTCGTTTCACAAAAATACTTATCATATTTTGTGTCAACAAGATAATTATGAAAATTACGTGTCATTAACATTCTTTCAAAGTTTATGACAAGTAAGATTTTGTGTAATCCTTGAGCGAAGACAAACAACGTTTATGACCTATGCTATGGCCAAACCAAAATAACCAGAAAGAGAGGGGAAAGAAGTTTTATTCCCCAATATAAAATACTAAAAAAAAATAGATTATTTGACCCATAAATATATTTCTAGTCTTCGCGTCCTAAATACTTAAAATAACAACATCAAACTTCTTAAACTGTTGAGAGCTGACATCTTGAAGCTGTATTTGTTTGAGGTACAGATATCGTGAAAAACACATGCAGTTTAGCAAGAGATATCAAGATAAGTAAGCAGATGTGTGTCACGTTCGTGTTTCTACACATGGAGTTCTTTTATTCAAAATTAAAATCCGAATATTTGCCCCGTATAGATGAAAGTACGATTATTGGAAGGGTCAAATTCTTACACTAATCACGTATCTCAAAAACCGCTCCGAACTTCAATGTTCTTTTTTTTAGGGGGATTAAAATAATAGCTGAAGCGCAATTTATATCCCCTCTTAAATGGTTATTTTGATTAGAACACGTGGTGATTTTGTAGGTTAAGGTTTCATCATCTATATTTTACCATCACACTTACTAATGGTGATTAAGAGACGTTTCTGTTGTCGTGAATGTGCCAAAACATTGTTTCTCAACCACCACTTTTAGAATAAGGAATAAGGTTATTTGATCAATGTTGTTCAGCCTTATCTGAGTTATTCTGGCATAATGAGCTTTTGCAAATGATTTAGCTATTATTAATTTTGGAACAATCGTAACTAAGATAGATTCCACTATTGCTCTGTTCTGTTTGTTTTTCTTAAGCACAGAACTGCTTTGCCCACCTGCAAAAATCGAACTCCGAATTTTGAAGTTTATCATTAAAAGTTCTTATTATTGTTGCTCTTTTAAAATAAACCTCACGATAAATTATGTTAACCCCGTTGTTTATTTTTTCTCTTAAAAATAATAAATTGTTACTAATGTCAAAATAACACAATAACATAATCAGCTAAATATATAAGTAATTAAAGTATACAGGTTGTTGTTGTTTGTTATTAAGCACAAAGTAGACAGGAGTTTTTTCGCGTACATTTCTTAACAGGTTACCATGGCCGAGGAGGGCCTCTAACGGTCGAAACACCAGCTTACATATCACCCCTGGGTCACAGGTTTGTAGAGGCAGGTAAAATTTTGGGTTACCCAAACGTTGATATCAACGGCCCAATTCAATCAGGTTAGTTCCAAAATATTTTGAATTAGACTAGTGCACCATTAATTTTTTGAGAGAGGAATTAAAAATAATAATTTTCCTAAACATCTATAATAAGATTTGTTTGCAAGTCTTTGTGATTATCTAAATAGTTTGAATACGATTTACTGATTGTCATGCGATAAGCACTTAAGGATTTTAAATATATTTACTTTAAAATGAAGCTGATTTGTAGAGTGTAACGCAAACAAATAATTTACTAGAAGTTTAGATTTTAAATAGTTTCACTTTAAAACGAGACTGATCAGTTAGAATGATATTGATTGTTATGTGAATAAAGACTTTTATTAATCAGTTTTAGTGTAGATGAGGTTTTAAAATATTTTTACTTTAGAACAAAACTGATTAATTAGAATGAGACTGATTGATTGTTATGTCAATAAAGAGTTTACTGCATATTAGGTTTCGGGATATGTTTACTTTATACGAGACTGATAGCGAAATTAAATGTTTTTTTTTACATTAGGCTTCACTGTTCCCCAAGGAACTGTGCGAAACGGCGCGAGATGCAGCACTTCTAAGGCTTACCTACAAGACATCATGGACAGGCCTAATTTAAAAGTTTTAATTAACGCCCATGTAACAAAGGTAAGTCAATTTGGATTGAGTAATTGAAGGCTTAAAAGTTAATACCTGTTTCCAAAGAGGCAGGTAGTCTAAATTTGAGAGTTTTTAAAGATTAAATTCCAGTTAAATCGAAGCTATAATTAAGATGATTCCTAAGACGAAAAGTATATTTCGATGATTATGTAACAACGTTATGTTTATCAGTAGGTAAAGTGATAAAGTTTGATTTAGCTAGGTTTATTTGCCACCCACATCTTGTAACACATGCACTTGTCCTCAATACAACCATTTTTACTGCCAGCAATGTTTGCTAATAAACATTTATTTTATGCCTCACCGCATGAAAACCATTTATTATAATATATTTATTGATTTTATGCAGATTTATATTGACAATAAGAGGCGTGCACGAGCTGTCCAGTTTGATTACGAAGGACTGTCAAGAACAGTGTTTGCAAGAAGAGAAATCGTCCTGGCAGCTGGAGCCATAAACACTCCTCAACTACTCATGTTGTCTGGCATAGGAGTTCGAAACCACTTAGAAAGTCTTGGCGTAAGAGAAAATAATTTCTTGGCCATTTCTTTCTAGGCCTAACTATACATGAAATCTGATAACAACCATTGGGTAGAATGAGATAATTCCATTACCTTTGTTTAAATCCCATTTTTTTCTAAAAATATGATATTTATAAGTATATATTATAAATTAGTGTTAAGTTACCTTTGGGCTTATAACGCTAAACATTGGTGGGCTCAGTGAGTATAACCCATTGTATAGCTTCGCGGTTAAAAACAAACAAACTATAGAGTATTAAAAGACAGTTGACGTTACAAATACCTGGCTGAAAAGTTGAATAAGGTCATATAATATTACAGAATCAAATACCGCTGTCTAAACAAAGCTTAATTATACTATCAGGTAGAGAACAATATCACAGTCATGTCAATAGCTAAGACATAAAAGTTAAGAGTTCGTAAGTAGAACAATTCACTTATCATTAGAAAACCCTAACGATGCATTCAGACTCTCAAAAACTGAAACCATTTATATCGTTAAAAATCCTCCATAAGCCCAGTAATAATTATATTAAGTAACTAAGGATACGTGATGACGAAATCAATGTGTTTATTTTAATTTTTTCCATTTAGAAGTAGTCTGTAATGATTCTGTTACAGAATGGCTGTTATCAATTGTTAGAAGCAGTTGAACTGAGCATTTCTCTGGTGTGTATTGTCATTTAATTTGTTAACATATCTAGAAAAATTTTAACCCAATTTGTATTTTATTTACGTATTGTTCGTTCTTTAGATTACAAGAAGTGTTTCAATAAGCTTTTCTTTTTACAACTTATAAATAGTTTAGTTTAATCCGTGTAGTTTCGTAAAAATATGTTATTAAAGATCTCTCTTTGTAGTCCTGTTAAGTTGTTTCTGTATATGGAATTTTGTTTCTTTAATGTCAGGTTGCATACATTATCTACCCGTTGTCCCAGTTTATCAACCCTCGCTAATTCCCATCATACTCACTGTCCAAATTTATAGATCCTTATTAATTCCCGTCATACTCACTGTCCAAATTTATAAATCCTTATTAATTCCCGTCATACTCACTGTCCAAATTTATAAATCCTTATTAATTCCAGTCATACTCACTGTCCAAATTTATAAATCCTTATTAATTCCCGTCATACTCACTGTCCAAATTTATAAATCCTTATTAATTCCCGTCATACTTACTGTCCCAAATTTATAAATCCTTATTAATTCCCGTCATACTCACTGTCTCAATTTATAAATCCTTATTAATTCCCGTCATACTCACTGTCCAAATTTATAAATCCTTATTAATTCCAGTCATATTCACTGTCCCAATTTATAAATCCTTATTAATTCCCGTCATACCCATTTTCCAAATTTATAAATCATTGTTAATTGCTTTTGATATCATTTCCAGGTATTATATTCTGTTGTTTTTTAATAAATCAAATTAAGAATTTATTATATATTTTCTCTTTTCACAATCCCAGGAAATATTTCACGATACCTTGTTCTTAGCGGAATCACATTAAACATTTTCTGATACGTTTTATTCTTTCTACATATTAAGTAGGAGTATAGAAGGAGTTAACGAACCTGGAAATGTTAACTGATACGTTTCGTTCTTATTAAAACCATGTTCGTTAACGCCTTCCATAATCCCACTTAACATGTATATGTTGGTTTTTTCTATTTTTGATTGGGTTTTCCCGATTCTTTCTTTTCTATATATATGTACAGTTACCGGTAATTGCTGACTTGCCGGTCGGGTTAAATCTCCAGGATCATGTGGGTTCAGCAGGAGTGCACTTCTTAATTGATAAACCTTACTCAATCATACTGCCACGTTATAAAAAGTCATACCTGATTCATGACTTTTTGCTCAGAGGCGGAGGTAAGTGTCGTCATAGACAAATTTTATACAATTGTGGTTGTCGTTTCATTACAACATATAAATATATATAAATCAAATAAACATACATGTGTGTATAAATATATATAATTTAAATACACATACCTATGTGTATTAGTATATATATATAATTCAAATACACAAACCTGTATGTATTAATATATATAAATCAAATACACAAACCTGTATGTATTAAAATATATAATTCAAATACACATACCTATGTGTATAAGTATATATAATTCAAATACACAAACCTGTGTATAATTTATACAGTTTAAATACACATGTCTATGTGTATAATTTATACAATTTAAATAAACATACATGTGTGTATGAATATACATAATTCAAATACACATACTTGTGTTTATAAATATATAATATTCAAATAAACCTACATGTGTGTATAAATATATAATATTCAAATAAACATACTTGTGTGTATAAATATATGATATTCAAATAAACATACATGTGTGTATGAATATATAATATTCAAATAAACATACGTGTGTATAAATATATAATATTCAAATAAACCTACATGTGTTTATAAATATATAATATTCAAATAAACCTACATGTGTGTATAAATATATAATATTCAAATAAACCTACATGTGTGTATGAATATATAATATTCAAATAAACATACATGTGTGTATAAATATATAAAATTCAAATAAACATACTTGTGTGTATAAATATATAATATTCAAATAAACCTACATGTGTGTATAAATATATAATATTCAAATAAACCTACATGTGTGTATAAATATATAATATTCAAATAAACATACATGTGTGTATTTATAGACATACATATGAAAAAGGAATCACAATAACATTCTAGTACAGCTTACCTCTTCCCACATTTTCAGCAGACGTGTTAGGTTGTCCTCGTTTTACCCCTTTTACTAGTGCGTACAATTAAATAATATATCTATCAGATATTCAACGAAAAACCAAATACAGTTAAAAGTTTTCAATATTAGAATTAATAAAGTTAAAACCGAAGAAACAACTTGGATTTATGCTATTTATAAATGTTCGTCGGATGCGTCTTTAGCCTTAAAGTCAAGAAATATATTTAACCAAGCAGTAATTGAATGTTTGTATAAAATTTAGAAACATTTTTATTAAAGATTACTTGAATATTTATATCGTTAAAAGTTCAAACAATAAGATTGGACGAGAATGTGTTAAATATAAGTAAGTCTACTCTAGAGGAAATAAAGCCTAATGCACAAAACTTCTCTTGAAAACGGCATTTCTTTCGTGCTGTGAAGATTTATGATAAACCTATATTAGGATATCATTACAAACAGCAAGTCTAAACCTATAATGAGATAAAACATTTACAGCACAAAACAAGCCTTAAACAAAAACGCTGCACAACAAAACAAAATCACCAAAGCAGAGCCAACAATGTTGGGTATAAGATATTTTGAGAAGTGACTGCAGTAGTAGAACCCACATAACGGTTGGGCATATTGTCCATCAGTTTTAACTTCCGTTCACAAAACCTCGCATGTGTAAAGAAATAATTTGAGAGTAGATAAAAAAAACAAGAGGGAATCCTCAGTAGCCGCGGCACTTGAAATTATTTTAGGCAGGATTAGAGTAAATTAATCTACGAGGCCTTGGACGTGGTTAAATATATCAATCGAAAGGGTTTGACCTCCTGAGTCCAAAACTGTAATTAGATGTCAAATCGGTCAAGAGATGACGGAGCTATGGGCTAAACGTTTGCACTTGAAAATAAAAAACAATAAAAAAAGAAAAACACAGAGCCATTCTATGAGCCGCCATGCCGCGACTAAAAATATAAAAATTATAAGAGAGTAAGATATAGGTGCTCAATTCCACAACGTCCAACACTTGTATCACCTTCCACTGCTTGTAGACAGTTGTGAGATGGTGGATGCTTCTTTTTCACTTCTTTTCTCCTGAGAGCTGCAAAGTTTGTAGGTTAATGTAATCTTATATTTTAACGTCGTACTTCAGCCTGTAAACTGCTTTTTTGTTATAACTATGTAGTTGAGCTGCCAGATATTAAATTAAATAGAATTATATACCAAACATAAGACGTCGCTGTTGAACTTTTGAATTAAAACTATTCTGAAAAGAATTCTCTGTCTTATAAAAGACAGAATTCTACTTTCTGAAATCGAGCTAAATGATAATTTAAATTTAATAATTAAATAAATGCCGATATATATCCAATTTGTGATATTTGCCAACAAGACTGATACACACAGTTTTCTTTTTGTAATCCAAACATGTTTTAATATGCAAACAACAATACATTTGACAATAACAGTTATTACAAATAGTTATTACAAACAATAATTTATATACAAAAGTTTCACGAACTTACAAGAAATATAAAGTCTTCTTTCTAGTCTGGAACTTCCTTGATATCTTTTCGAGGGTTGACGATGAACGAGTTAATTTCGAGTTGGCGTAGGTATAATTCACTTAACAGGGAGCTAGGTAGCCCTGTAGTTCTCGCTGATCACACGCCGATTACAGGTCGAGTTTCCACCAATGACGTTAGGTAATGTTTTCGTAAAAGTGCTAATGTCAGATGTGAATCCACTGAAGTTAAATTGTTTATAATATTCGAAATTTATAAACGTTCCTGGTCAAATATCTTAAGTTTCCCGATTAATAAGCGTTATAATAATCACAGTTATAGCTTCCAAAGTTTATAGCAAACCAACTATAGCAAACTACTATTAGATACTGTTTTTAGGCGCGTAGCGTTGGTTATATTTATAGGCGTGTGGAGAGTTTCTCGAAAATTCAGATTACGTAACAATACAAAGGTACACTGGCGTTTACGTACACACATATGTATTGTTGATTCTTACACTCGAGAATATTCTACAATTTTAGAGAATAGGTGGGAGTTTCGCAATACATATTTAACATTTCTAATTTTAAATTTAATTTAAGCAAACATCAATATTAAAATAAATATAGAATAACAAATCCGTCACACGTTCCAAAAATGTGCCAACTATTCCGCTTAAATAAAAATTCTAGGTGTGCGGTTAGTACAAGAGCAAGTAGTCATGTTTATTATACAATCCATAATTTGAAAGAGCGCAAGTGAGTGTATGCATTTTTAGTTATTTTATTTTTGGAGCACGTAATCAAAACATTGTGAATCTGTTTAGCTTCTTGCGTTACTATATCTGTGGAACAGTCTACGTAAACAGTTGACTCGAAGCCTGAAATTCAACAAACATAGTGTGTAGTAAATTTTAAAAGAATTGTGAATAAGCATAAATAGCATTCTATTTTGGATGAGCTATTTCGCTTAGTCGTTGCTCTATATCAAGCAGCAACAGCTGTGCTTCGAATGTTCGACAACAGTGTTGTTACTCCTTACTGTAAGAGTGTTGTTACTCATTGCTGTAAGAATATTGTTACTCCTTACTGTAAGGGTATTGTTATCTATTACTGTAAGAGTGTTGTTACTCATTTCTGTAATAGTATTGTTTCTCGTTGCCGTAAGTGTTATTACTCATTCCTGTAAGAATGTTGTTTCTTATTGCTGTAAGAGTATTGTTTCTCATTCCTGTAAGAGCGTTGTTACTAATTCCTGTAAGGGTATTGTTATCTATTACTGTAAGAGTGTTGTTACTCATTTCTGTAATAGTATTGTTTCTCGTTGCCGTAAGTGTTATTACTCATTCCTGTAAGAATGTTGTTTCTTATTGCTGTAAGAGTGTTGTTTCTCATTCCTGTAAGAGCGTTGTTACTAATTCCTGTAAGGGTATTGTTATCTATTACTGTAAGAGTGTTGTTTCTCTTTGCTGCAAAAGCGTTGTTTTTCATTACTGTAAGAGTGTTGTTTCTCATTGCTTTAAGAGTGTTGTTACTCAATCCTATAATACTGTTGTTTCTTATTGCTGTAAGAGTGTTATTACTCATTCCTGTAAGAGTGTTGTTTCTTATTGCTGTAAGAGTGTTGTTACTCATTCCTGTAAAAGTGATGTTACTCATTCCTGTAATAATGTTTTTTCTCATTGCTGTAAGAGTGTTGTTTCTCATTCCTGTAAGAGTGTTGTTACTCATTGCTGTAAGAGTGTTGTTTCTTATTGTTATAAGAGTGTTGTTACTCATTACTGTAAGAGTGTTGTTTTTTATTGTTATAAGAGTGTTGTTACTCATTACTGTAAGAGTGTTGTTATTCAATGCTGTAAGAGTGTTATTACTCATTCCTGTAAGAGTGTTGTTACTCATTCATGTAAGAGGGTTGTTAATCATTCCTGTAAGAGTGTTGTTAATCATTCCTGTAAGAGTGTTGTTACTCATTCATGTAAGAGTGTTGTTACTGGTTCCTGTAAGAGCGTTATCACTCATTCCTGTAAGGGTATTGTTATCCATTGCTATAATAGCGTTGTTTTTCATTCCTGTAATAATGTTGTTACTCATTGCTGTAAGAGGGTTGTTAATCATTGCTGTAAGGGTGTTGTTTCGCATTACCTTAAGAGTGTTGTTAATCATTGCTGTAAGGGTGTTGTTTCGCATTACCCTAAGAGTGTTGTTAATCATTGCTGTAAGGGTGTTGTTTCGCATTACCCTAATAGTGTTGTTATTCATTGCTGTACGTGTTAATCAATAAAATCAGAAGGTTGTTATCATGTCCGATGCCAAACTTTTCACATAACTAAGAGTTAGTTTTCCACATGATAGAAGTCGTACATTGCACAACTTTATACGTATTTCAATGCTTATGTTAAGCTTGATTAGGGTTTACTAAATAATAAGGAATAATTTATTTATATACAGTATTTTATCAAAATTGATCTTTTAGAAATTAAAGGTTTCTTCCTCTCTCTAAAAACGATAATTTTCCGTTTGCAGGTCCTCTGACCATCTTAGGGGGCTGCGAAGGTTTAGGATTTATAAAAACACCATTTGCCAACGCAAGTGAGGACTTTCCTGACGCAGAAATTCACTTTATCTCCAGCTCCCCATCCTCTGATGGCGGAAGAACTATACGAAAAGTACAAGGTATTGGTTCAAAGGTGTGTAAAGAATATGACATACAGTAAAAAAAAAAACAACATTTTGGCTAACACCGTGAATGGTTGAAAATATAAATGTTTTAATACAGAACGTTTTTCCAGGAATTACTCGATATCAATACACTGAATAAAAATGCAAAAAAAAATCACACCACAATTTTAATGAGTGCGTTTTAATTTTAAAAATCCCCAAAATTAATACACATTCTATATAAGTAGTGTAGTGTTAGATAATATAATATTTGATAAGAAACAGATTTTGTTTAAGTAACATTTTGAGATTCTTATTTTTCTAGTTACAGTATGAGTCGAAAAACCTTTTCCTTTAAATATGACTTGATCGATTCTTTACTTCTTGTTCTTGTCGAAAGATAGAAAAAAACATCACAATTTTCAGAGTATTCTGATTTATTCTTCTAATACTGGAAGTAGAGGTGAAAATTTGACTTTTTAGGTTGTTCGGATTTGTTGTTAATTTATTATTTAGTATTGGAAAGAGATGAGAGGATAAAAAATTGTCTTTATTTTTTAAAGTGTTGTGTTCTCTCCTTTATTTATTCCGCTAGTACTGGATCAAGACAAAAACTTATTTTTTCAGGTTATTCTAATCTGTTATTAATTTATTCTTCATGTTCTGGAAAAAAGCGAAAAAAATCATTATTTTTCAAGATGTTTTGATCAATTTTACATATATTATTCTTATACTGGAAGGCGGAGAGAAATATTCTTACCATTTCAAGGTGTTATTGTCTATTTTACATTTATGCTTCTTGTATTGGAAGGAGAAGAAAGAGAGAAAAAAAATCTAACTTTTTCAAGGTGTTCTGATCTACACAGCGTGGTCACAAGTAAATAGACATCACCTTTTCAGAATAAATGAAATTTTCAGTCATATTTACATGAATTGATATATTTATAATTTAATTGGTATCTAGTAGATCTTCCTTTCGCTTCGTGGAGTTCGTTGATCCTTTGAAGCATCGTGAGAATCATCTCGTCAATTTTAGATTGTGGGATTTTCGCCCACTCTTGCTTCAAAACTTGGAGTAGATCGCTCGTCGAAG